TTTCTTAATCTAAATCTCCTTCCATTCAACATAAGCAATTTTTCCAATTTCCAAGAATTATTTAATTGACAATAACCTTTGTTTGATTTCAAAAACTACGTAAGCAAGAGCGCCGATGAACGTGCATCACTTAGCTTATCTGAATTTTGAAATCATCAAGGTCCTAAAATCCGATCATGATAGGCAGCGTGTGCTTCACACAATCATGATACATGATTGTGGTATGCAGCGTGTATTTAACACATGACCATTTTAGAAGACTCACAAATCACTCACAAAATAAACTATTCTCTTAGGAAATTTTCTTAATTATTTTTTTTAGATTTAAATCATCCAAATAACCGATTTAATTATTAATCTAGATTTCAGCATCATAATAATTATCATTTATGAGGTTAATTTGAAATCAAAATAATTTCCATAACGATCATTAAATTATTAAATTCGTTATGCACATATTTCAAAATTATTTTTCTAGATTTAAATCATCCAAATAACTAGTTGAATTATTAATCTAGATTTTAGCAATCATAATAATTATCATTTAAAATGATAATTTGAAATCAAAATAATTACCATAGCGATCATTAAATTATTAAATTCGTTATGCATATATTCCAAAAATTAGAATTAATGGCATAATGACCATTAATTCAGCCTATCAGATGTAATAACAATTAATTTAAAATTTGAAATATGAATTAATTATCATAATGACTATTAATCTAGTCGTATAAACATAACAATCAGCATGCTCATGTAATTAACAAGTTATGCAACAATATGGCACCACCTATTCTATATGGCATGTTATCTCATCAAGCATGTTATCCATCATATAATTCATCCATTCATAAAAATAAAGCAATTATAAATAAAATTTTAATCCATGGTTCACTAGAGAAAAAAATAGAAAATAGGAAACAAAAATAATTTCTTCAGTCCATTTCCTTTTTTCTTTTAGTCCATAGGTTCTATTTCAAGCCCCTTTGGTAATCATGTGCCCAAATGCCTAAAATACCACATTTTGGCAAGAAACCCTAAGTCAACTTTCAGGAACGCTAGCCGTCACGACCACTGCGCCATCACCCGAACTCATCTCAGAACAAAACTTCAGGGTAAGGACCCCTATGCAGAGACGAAGCCATGGCTGCGAGAATCATCCTCATCGAAATTGACACGCGCTGCTTTTTCACCGGCGCATGGTGCCCACACGCAGCCACTTGTGGCGGCGCGTGGAGGCTCCTCCCGGCTGGATCCGGTCATCTTCTTGTTCTTCACCGCTATTTCAACTGGATGATTGCGAAGATACCCAAAACAGTGACGAACACGCTTTTTTTTGCATCTTCTTGATCTTCTTTTATTACAATTTTGTAATACAACGAAAAATTATACAAAAATTGAAATAAAAAATCAAGAAGGAAACCTAATCATAAGGGTTTAGCCTCATTGTTACAACCCAAGAAAATACAACCAAATCTCTACCATGGATTAAAGCTAAAAAACCAAATATAAAAGCATCGATTTTTAAAGAAAAGAATTATAAAGATACACATGTGAAATACATACCAATAAACATAGAACCCTAGGTGCCATATTTCATTAAGCAAAACTAATTACATGAATAGTGAAACTAGATTCACATACCAATGTACAGCCAAGGCTTTGATACCAATTGTAGGAACTATTGGATTTATGCGGAGACGATTTAGGACCTAGTACATTGGTATGCTTACCTAATCATCCTCGTTTCACAATTACCTCTTGGTGCGCAGATCTCGTGTAGAATCTTCCCTTGTATGATTCCTCTTCACCAACTGCTCACCTTAGCGCCGCAGCACGAACAACCTCCTTGTAGCTGGATTGTGGTAGATCTTCCAAACTATGTCTCAAAGGAAAATGGGAAGTGTGTGGGCACTCTCTCACTTTAAGGGAGATGATTGTTGGGTCAAAAGCTTGTTGGGTGAAAAATATATTATGATGAAGTACTTTCTAGTTCAGTAAGAGAAAACACTTGTGTTCTCTTACTTTCAACCCAAGTGCGCAAGTGCACGCATCAAGTAATAAAGGGACTATTAGTGCCTAGATTATCGTTCCCACGAGGATAGAACTCTAATTAATGCCTTAAACTATTTTAAAGAGAATAAAAATGAAAAGAAAAGTTAGCAATTGACATGTTTGGTCAAACGTTCCCTACTGTCTTGACAACGTTCCTCAAGAACAGTAGGTCAATCTGACAGCAAACAGTTCATCGCTCCGTGATGTATGATACCCTTCTTGTTGAGAGAAGGAACATCAATATTCATGAGAGATTTATAGATACAAGATTGAATAAAGAAAGAAAAAATAACAATAGTAATAACAGTAATTAAGAGACAACAATGTGGATTGTTTAAAACAGTTTGACACAAGGAACAGATTCACTGTTCCATTCTTAAATAGTTATTTTCTCTACTCAAGACTTAACACTTTTGGCTTTGTTCCAGTCTCTTCACTGCCAACCTCTGATTCCTCAGCTCATGGACTAAATGGCTCACAAGTATCCGTATTCCTATGGTTCCCTTGACTCCAACAGTTACTTAGCACAGGACCTTTAAATGAACGAGGTGGTCACAAGTTTACACAACACTGCCTTCCCCCTCTGGTTAAGCTGTCTGAAATCCCTTCAATATGGAAGTTCTTTTCTCAATATGTGTTCAATTTTCATTGATACACAATGAATATAGCTTACTTAACCAGAGAAATACAAAAGCTCAGTACAAAAGTTTTGAAAATAATTCTTTAAGAACTTTGCAGCTTTTCCGTTCCCCGGATAATTTAGCCCATGACTACTACTTTAAACAATTATTCTAAACTGAAATCTCATAGACCCGAGATTCAGTTCAGAGATAATGAGTGAAAAGGGAAGAAATAACACTTATGTTTAACTGGAAACAAATTAGGTTACAACAAAATAGAAAGTGGAGAATATGGTTGTTGCTCGTGAGGAGTCTCAAGTGGATGATACAGAATAGAGAAGAAGTGTTGTCACTTAACTGCAACTAAAACTATACAAAAGAAAAAACTACAAAATAAACTAAGTAATCTCTTTTTAAGGAATTCGGTGATGTTCTTCGTGCTGGGACGTCTTATTTATAGCAGAAGAGTGAATGGCAAAGCTTGTAATTTCCATGGAGTTGTTTTCTTGACTGCATGGACGGGGCGGTGTGAACTGTGCTCAGAGGTTTGCAACTTGCTTGGATGAGACACTTATTGTTGAGATTTGTCTTTCCTTCTAATCATCCCCATGCCTTGCTTTCCTCTTAGCCAATGAGAACCCTTTATTCCCTGTTGTACACATTTCTTCGTGCTTGATTGCTACACCGCTTATGCTTTATGGAATATTCTTTTCAACGTTTCCTGCAAAGTGGTCAGAGAGGTTGAGTGAGTGGAGCAGGTGTATTTAATATTCTCAATTTGTTCCCCGTTTATATATTTTTCAAAGGATTACGTCTCCATTTGTTCCCCACTGTGTTTTTGTCATAAAGATATTCAACATGTGCTTTTAGTGCTAAAGTTGCTCATCAGATGAGGGAACAAATGGTATTTTACCATCAAAATGGGCTTAGATGGGAGAAAATTTTCGTCCCATCAAACACCCCAAAGCTAAACTGTTCGTTGTCCTCGAACAACTTAGAAATGAAGGCTTAAGCTGCTCAATTTCAAAGAATAGCTCAACTTCAGAAACTCTAGCCAGTAAGTAATCATAATCTTTTCAAAGACTGAACTACTTTCCATAGGTGACAAGTAAAAAGAATTTGTTCCAAGGTAAGTGAAGAGTGCTTATGTTCTGTCTCACTATAACTCTGGGCTTGGTGTTTCTCTGTCCATTCCTAGATGTGATTCTTCAAACTTGCTTATTTGTTGTCTTCCTAACAAGTGCAGGTGTCTTTTATATCAAAGGATCTTTGTGAAAAAGGATTGATGGGGGGCTTTAGAAATGGCATGGTCACAGGTCTTGGGTCAAGGAATATTTTTCAGTTTTTCTGTTTCAGAGTTGGACTTTTCTAGGTGAGGGAACACCTTGTCTTTTTGTACCCTGTTTTCTTCCTTTGGAGGAATTTTTTTCTGGTATCTTCTTCTGAATTCTTTTGTATGGCTGTTCCTATTTTTCTTTGTTTTCTTTTCTTCTTGTCCTCTTTGCTCATTTAGGATTTGTTCTTTGCTCCTTTTAGTTGACCTGGGGATGGGTATGAGTGTGTGGGGTTGTGCTGCGGTATGAATGAGAATAGAAGTGTTTGTTTGATTGTGAGGGGGTGAGTGTTTGAAGGTTGATCCTTGTTAGTGAAATTCACCTGTTCTTCAGTAGTACTTACAACATGAAGGCATGTTTAGAAGTTTCATTGTGGTGACACCTCAGGAACGCTCTCATGAGTAAGTGTTTGGCATTTTTCTTTCCTCACCAGTTTTAGCTCACACAGATCAGTATCCTTCAAAAATCTGAAGATTAAATTCATTTCACCTTTCCTATTTCAAGCATTCAGAGTAAGAACAAGAATGATTATTTATTGACTTTGTGCTTCATGCCATTGATTATTCAAATTTTCACAGCCACAATACTATAACTGAAATGTATGCTCCAAACAGTTTGAACAAAAATGAGTTTTCTATTTCAAAAAGAAGTTAAAATTTACACTAGGGAACGGAAAAGAAAACAAAAGTAAACTTGCAGAAAGCAATAAATGGGAAATAAACAAAATAGGAGGGTATTTCTCCATTTCACTGTGGACGTCTCTTGCCCAGCTCAGAATTCTTTTCAGCATCTAGTTCCTCCTGCGTAAGTGGCCTTTCCCAAGCTGATCTCTTAATCTTCTTACTTCAGCTTCAGGGAACCACTTCTCAGCGTCCTTCAGTAGATCACTGATCACAGCAGTGAGGTGCACAATGGTGGATCTCATCATTATCCTGCCATTGTGGATATGTACTATCTATCCTTCAACATCCATCACTCGATGTTCCAGCTAAGTGATTCTCCCCTCCAAATATGTACCAAAAGCCTTGAGAGCTTCTGTGGTTTCTGTTCGCACTTCAGTGTTTTGGAGGTAAAGTCTTCTAAGTTGTTTCTCAGCTCTGGTGTTATGCATGGAATGAGCAAACTTCAGGGAATCAGCAGCATTTCTGATTTCATTCCTGACAGCTGGAAGGGTAGGTGCAGAAGGTGCAGCACTGATGTTTTTGATGCTGGCCTGGACGGTGTTGAGGAGCTGCTCCATGTCTTCCTTATGTTGCTCCTGGAATTTGATGAAGGACGATGAAAGTTGATCCAATCTGTTCCTTAGAGCCTTTAACTCTTCAGTAGTGATGGCCATGTCTAGCTGAGGAACAGATGGTGCTTTAGGTAGCAGTTTCTCCATTTTCTTCCCCATCATTTCAAAAATCTCAGCAATCCCAATCTGAGATTTTCTCCTTGATGCAATGGGGATTGCTGGAATGAGGGAGGCTGGTTTCTTCTTCTTCTTCTGGTTGTTGTTGCTGCCAAAAGCTGGAGATTCTTCAGGTGTTTGCCTAATTGCAACCTTCTTTATTTTTGAGGAAGAGGGGGCTGTTGTATTTTGTTCCTCCATCAGTAGAGAAACTTCCAAGCCCTCATCTTCTGCTAGAGCCCTAGCAATGGCCTCGTCCCCAGAAGTATCGGGACGGATAATGGGGCAAGAGAGGGGTCCTCCCAGACAGATTTGCCTGGGAACAGTTGGCTTTTTCTTTTTAGGGGATTCAACAAGAATCTCCTTTCCTTTGTCAAGTTTTTTTTTAGGCTGAGCCTCTTGCTCAGCCACCTGTTCTTCTGCAGCAGGGGCTGTATCCGTTTCTTTAATTCCCTCTCCTTGTTGTTGCCTAGGAGAGGGTTGTTGTGTTCTTGGTGGTAGTGAAGAGTGAGCAGGTGATGGTGGAGGGGACGAAACGTCAGAGGAATCAGAAGTAGCAGAGCTACTTGGGGACGTTTCCTTAGCAGTTGATGTAGGTTTTGACGTTACTTCTGTTTTTAGCCTTTTTGCAATAGGCTCATTGTCTTCACTATCCTCCTCCTTGTCAGAGAGAGTGATGGGCTTCTCAGAGGATGCTCCCTCTGGCCTTTTGGTGCTACTGGAGGATCTCTTCAGCCTCTGACTGGAACACACCCCCTTTCTAGGGAGAACTTTGACAGGAGATTTCTTTTTGCCCTGTTTGCTCTCAGTAGCAACATGGGCTTCCTTCTTTACCTTGGTGGGAGGGGGAACGGTTTTTCTTGCCTGGGTGTAGGAAGAAGTGGTTGTTGATTTTGAAATGGTGGCCTTCGTGGTTTTCTTCTTTGGGGCCTCAAGGCCCTCTTCATCCTCAATTTCATCAACGTCACGTCTGACGTTGTAACCTTCAGGACATGGAATGTCTGTCTCAATCTAAGTAGTCCTCAGACCATTCCATGTTTTGAAATCGATGACAGACCCCAACACTAGGTCTTCATCCTTATAAGTTTTTACTTTAGCTCTTAGACAGAGCTTTGTGATCAGGCAGGGAAGGCAGACGATAGTCTTCCTGATTTCCTTCTTCAGGCTGCCATATATGAGAGGTACTGCATCAAAAGGAATGTTCTTCATGATGCAGTAGATTTGTACCTGTAATGCCCACTTGATAGTGGCATCATGAGTGAAGGGAGTGAGGCTGGTGTTAGTAAAAAGAGACCAGAATCTGGCCTCGTCCTTCAGACTTCCCTTGCAGTGGCTCTTTTTGCGTAAACAATTTCACCAATGGTGATCAAGTTCTTCACGTCCAGTGCGAATCGTGGGACTTCTTTGCTTTCAATGTACCCTTGGTATGGGCAGTTGGAGATGGTTGGGAGGTGGAGCAATTCCTTGATGGCTGCAGGGGAAAATGATACTTTCTTTCCCCTCACAATCACCTCATCAGTGGTGTACCCCTTAGGCAACCTCTTTGCGTGATACAAGAACTCAGCCACCAAGGCAGTGTTGAGTTCTCATACTTCTGTGGCAAACAACGTCCACCTGAGTTTGGTCAAGGCCTTCTTCACGAATGATGGAAGAGGAGCCTTGTCTTGCAAGAAGATGTTTCTCTCTGGGTAGAGAGATACAACTTCTTCGGTGATTTTAGGTGCTTGGTCGGGGCTGGCCACAGGGGTAACAGTTACTGAAAGTCTAGCCATGGTTATGGAAGAAGAATAAGTTAGGGCAGAATGTAGGGGAAAGGGTTTAATAAGAGCAAAAGTTTCTAAGTTAGCAGAAGATAGTAAGGCCTTGAAGGAGAAAAGAGATGAGTTTAAATAGGCTTTCAGAGGAGAGAAAATAAGGAGTTTTTCAGGACGTGGAGGTTAAAGATAGGAAGTTGAGGAGGTAGTGGAAGGGGAACGTTATGGAATGAGTGGTCAGGGTTAGTAGTATTCAATTGCTACTAATGGTGGTAAGGAGGTGGAACGGTTTAGGTTAGAAACGTGGGAGAGAGGGAAATAGGGTAGGAGCAGTTGCATTAATGGCTAAGGAGACAGTTGCTTTTTCAAGGCACGTTTTCAAAATCTGCAATGAGTGCAGATTTGATAACGGCTGCGTATATGTAAGTGACTCGGCAGGGACAGGTGTCTTTGTCACTCTTATCTCCTAAGCCAGGGAATGTTCCCTTTGTCTTTTACCTATATTTAAATAATAATAATAATAAACTAACACCCTAATAATAAAAATGCAAATCTATTTAACAAAAGAAACCGAGATATAAATTGCACTATAAAGAAATACTACTTATTTATTAAGATTAATATTAATATATATATATATATATATATATATAAATATATATAAATATATATATATAAATTTTTTTATACGGGAATGTGTGATTTTTGAACCACCCCAAAACTATGTTCCTGGAACGGAACGTATTTTACTTATTTGGACTTGGAGTTGAACATCAAACGTTCCCTCTATTTTTGGGAGATGTGTGATTAAGTTTAACCACCCCAAAACTTTGCTCTTGTTAAAGGGTAAAGGTATCTACTGAGTTGCCTCCCAGTCAGCGCTTAGTTTAATGTCCTTAGCCAGACATGTTACTTACCTCTTAACTTTCTGGGGAAGATGTTGGGGGAACTTCAGTGTCCCAAGGCAATTTTCCTGGTATCCTAGTGTTGAGGCTAGCAGCTATCTATCCCAAGTGGGATTCAACATTTCTGACCACAACATCATTCCTGGTGACATATTCTTTGATATAGTTTTCCAAGGTGTTGATGTGTTGGTCATCTCTTTGGAACGGAGCATAATTGGTTCTTCTTTGCTGTTCATATGCTCCATTTTTGTGCATTGTTGATATTGCTGCTGCTAATTGTTGTATGGTCTTTGGTTTGTGGGTGGTCTCCATTGAGGATTATGGTTCTGATCTTTCACTAAGGTTCTTCCAAGATTTTGATTATTGTTGCTTCCTGCTTGCTGATTGTCTCTGGATTGGGTGAAGTTTATGTTCCCAAAATGTTCTGCATAATAAACTAAGGCAGTGGATGGGCAGTCTGCTGAATCATGGAGATCACCACAGGCTGAGCAAGGTTCATTCTCAGCTGCTATGAGTTGTAAGACTTCCATCCTTGGTTGTTCATGATCATCTTTCAGATTCTTCACCTCATTCAACAGTGTGGCCAGTTGGGATTCCATGGAAGTTTGTTTGTCTAGTTCTAGCATGCCTGGCTTCCTTACTGGGCTCATCCTGTCTAGTGGCCATTGGAGACATCTTTCTGCAGTGCCTTCTATGATTTCGTACCTGGATTCAAGAGTTCCTGTAAAGAAATATCCTCCTGCAGCAAAGTCTAAATGTGACTGAGAAGTATGATCAATCCCTTTATAAAAAGAATGTAAAATTCCCCAACTTTCCATCCCATGGTTTGGACACTTTCTAATGATGTCCTTATATCTCTCCCAAGCTTCATAAAGATTTTCTCCATAAAACATTCTAAAATTTGACAGCTCTGCTCTAACATCGGCTTGGCGAGACATAGGGAGAAATCTTCCTATGAACTTATTAGAAAGTTCTTCCCAAGAATGTATGGAACCAGGGGTGAGGGTTTTCATCCATGTTTTTGCTTTTGAGCCCAGGGAATGAGGAAACAGCCTCATTCTCATACTTTCCTCTGTTACAACCTCAGTTCTAAAATTATCACAGATATCTTGGAAGTTTGTGAGGTGTGTGTAAGGATCTTCTGCAGGGAGTCCATTGAAGACTCTAGCTTCCGTGATCATGTGAAACATGATGGGTTTGAGTTCAAAGTTGGGAGCTAATGAGGGAAGGATCACTCCCCTTTCTAGTCTGTTCCTTAAAAGAGCAGCCAAAACTCTGAAGTTCTGTTCAGGAGAAATTTCATCATTATTGTTATTATGATCAGCCATATTTTCACAAATATTTTCCCCGAGATCTCTTCTTCTCCTATGTAAAATACGTTCTGGTTCAGGGTCAAAGAAGAACTCAGGTATTTCAGTGGAGTGGTGAGACTCTGTTTCACACTCTTCACTCATAAACCATAAAACACAGATAATATGAACAACAGAATATGTGACAAAACAAATTAAAAAAAATGAAAATGAAATATACAGAGTATGTACTTAAAACAATAGTAAGGACAAAATTTAGTGTGTCCATCCCGGCAACGACACCAAAAACTTGTTGGGTCAAAAGCTTGTTGGGTGAAAAATACTTGTGTTCTCTTACTTTCAACCCAAGTGCGCAAGTGCACGCATCAAGTAATAAAGGGACTATTAGTGCCCAGATTATCATTCCCACGAGGATAAAACTCTAATTAATGCCTTAAACTATTTTAAAAAGAATAAAAATGAAAACAAAAGTTAGCAATTGACCTGTTTGGTCAAACGTTCCCTACTGTCTTGACAACGTTACTCAAGAACAGTAGGTTCAATCTGACAGCAAACAGTTCATCGCTCCGTTATGTATGATACCTTTCTTGTTGAGAGAAAGAACATCAATATTCATGAGAGATTTATAGATACAAGATTGAATAAAGAAAGAAAAAATAACAATAGTAATAACAGTAATTAAGAGACAACAATATGGATGGTTTAAAACAGTTTGACACAAGGAACGGATTCTCTGTTCCATTCTTAAATAGTTATTTTCTCTACTCAAGACTTAACACTTTTGTCTTTGTTCCAGTCTCTTCACTGCCAACCTCTGATTCCTCAGCTCATGGACTAAATGGTTCACAAGTTTCCATATTCCTATGGCTCCCTTGACTCCAACATTTACTTAGCACAGGACCTTTAAATGAACGAGGTTGTCCTATATTCCTAAGGCAACCAGCAGTGTTGTTTACACAACACTGCCTTCCCCCTCTGGTTAAGCTGTCTGAAATCCCTTCCTTATGGAAGTTCCTTTCTCAATATGTGTTCAATTTCCATTGATACACAATGAATATAACTTACTTAACCAGAGAAATACAAAAGCTCAGTACAAAATTTTTGAAAATAATTCTTTAAGAACTTTGCAGCTTTTTCGTTCCACAGATAGTTTAGCCCATGACTACTACTTTAAACAATTATTCTAAACTGAAATCTCATAGACCCGAGATTCAGTTCAGAGATAACGAGTGGAAAAGAGAGAAATAACACTTCTATTTAACTGGAAACAAATTAGGATACAACAAAATAGAAAGTGGAGAATATGGTTGTTGCTCGTGAGGAGTCTCAAGTGGGCGATATAGAATAGAGAAGAAGTGTTGTCACTTAACTACAACTAAAACTATACAAAAGAAAATTCTACAAAATAAACTAAGTGATCTCTTCTTAAGGAATTCGATGATGTTCTTCGTGTTGGGACGTCCTATTTATAGCAGAAGAGTGAATGGCAAAGCTTGTAATTCCCTTGAAGTTGGTTTCTTGACTGCATGGACAGGGCGGTGTGAACAGTGCTCAGAGGGTTGCAACTTGCTTGGATGTGACACTTATTGTTGAGATTTTTCTTTCCTTCTGATCATCCTCATGCCTTGCTTTCCTCTTAGCCAATGAGAACCCTTTATTCCCTGCTGTACACGTTTCTTCGTGCTTGATTGCTGCACCACTTATGCTTTATGGAACCTTCTTTTCAACGTTTCCTGCAAAGTGGTCAGAGAGGTTGAGTGAGGGGAGCAGGTGTATTTAATGTTCTCAATTCGTTGCCTTTTTTATATATTTTCCAAAGGATTATGTCACCATCATTCCCCACTATGTTTTTGCCATAAAGATATTAAACATGTGCTTTAGTGCTAAAGTTGCTCATCAGATGAGGGAACAGACGGTATTTTGCCATCAAAATGGGCTTAGATGGGAGCGAATTTTCATCCCATCAATGACCTTACCTCAGCCTCTGCAACCACCAAGTGAAGACTAGAGAGGCTGATGACTATAAGTCTAGAATATATATGGGTTCCAAGAAACCCTAACCCTAAGCAGAGTGGACTTTAGATTTCTTGAACTTTTCTTACACACTAGGCCTTATTGGGCTTTAGTGGAAGAGTAAAACCCAACATAAAGCATATAAATCAATTTTGTAAAAGGTAAGAATCTTAATGAGGATGGTTATTATATTTAAATGGCTGACTACTTTTGTTTTTTCATCCCCTACAAACTATTTAGTATTTAAATTTGTCCAGTGCAAACTAATTCAAATTCAAGCCAGACATGATTAAAAAGTCAGAAAACTCTTTCTATCAATTTTTAATACCATTGCATTATTGATTACCTAATCCAAATCCAAATTGACTCATCCTATTTGTTGGACAAGTTGCCTTAAACTCAAGAGGGGGGTGAATTGAGTTTTAAAAATATTTTGGCAAAATGTCTCACTTTCTTTCTTGAAAACGAATTTCTTGAATTTATATGATTTGACATAAGTAAAGTTTGAAGAATAGAAATTAGAACAAGAAAATAATATGAAAAGTGTGAATCTAAATATGCTCAAGTATTCTAACAATACTTATGTAAAGAGATAAGGAGTTAGAGAGATTGTAAACAAGATATATCTTGGTTCGGTCACCACCACTGTGACCTACGTCCAGATTGAAGCCACTCGATCAACTTTCTACTAATGGTCAAGCTTCAAGGGTGCTTGACAAACCATTACAACCTTCAAGAATTTTGGTTTGAAACCCTTACACTTCCACTCACTTTCTTAGGCTATAAACAA